GAACACTTTAATAAAAGTTATAGCTATCAACTCACAAAGAGTATAAACAACGTTGTAGATCAGTTTTACAATAATAATAATTTAATAAAGATTAGCAATACGTATTTTATATCCAATATTCACCTGTTTATCTGTCACAACGTTTTTACAATGCCGTTTAGAATTATAATAAAGTATAAAACGCCTTTCTTTCAGTGGCAGCTAAAAAAATATACGGACATTTTGTTTTGGTGGGTATGCCAGACAAAATTACACTGAAAATTATTTTGTCATTTGTGATATTATCAAGAATTCATTTGTTTTGTTCCAAAATTCTATTTAGTACAATTTAGCTACTTTTCATAATTTTATATTACAATTTAAATTAAAATAATTCAGGATTTTTTTTTCTGTTCGCTAATATACGATGTATACATGTAGAAAAATATCTCTGTCTCACATTTTATTATTTTGGACAAACAAAATCAGTAACTTATAATATTTTTAGTAATATCATACAAAATTGTTACATAAAGAGATTCGTACAATCAATTAATTAATATTATCACAAAATTACTTATAACAATAATAAGTAACATTAAAAATATATTTATTATAAATTATTGCGGATTGGTTTGAGTTAATCGTTTATAAATAGCTATTTTCTGTTTTAGTGTTATCTTTTCTTTTATATTTTGGTAATGATTAAATCTACTGGTACTAAGTATAGTTTTTCTCATGGTTTCATTCATTTCTTTATGATGTTCTACATCTAGATATAGGTAAGTTTGAGTGATTAACTGTTACTGTTGCCTGTAATTTGAACAAATGGTTGTTCTTATTTTAATAAGTTGTTCTTTTGTCGTTTTTGGACAAATTTGACAGTAGTCATTCTTTCAGAATTTTGGTTATTTTAACTATTTTAGCGTCAATCAGAAGTTGCGGATTTAAACCAAAGATATAGTATTATTCCCAACTGAGCAGTTCTGGTACCATCTTCTTTAGTTTGTTTCCTTCCAGTTTGGATTTGGAGTTAAAAGAAATTTTGTACATATTTGAGGATTATCTGAATTTGTAATTAATCATTTACTATCTGCCATTCTTTCGAAACCACCTTGTGTACTTTTAAAGAAGATTGGGGTATATTCAATGCAACCTGGTAGGATTCTCATATTATCAGTTTCTTCTTTGAAAAATTGCATGCGAGTAGAAAATCCTTCTATCTATGTTAATTCATGTGGAGCAATACGAAAAAATTTAACAATTTAAAATATCTTCATCCTAAATTTCGATAATTCTTTTACACCCATCGTTCTTTTACACCAATCACCGGTTAATGATGTGGCACTGACATTTCTTTTTAAGGAATCGCTCTGTAATTTTCTTTGCATAGCATCTCGAGCGGTTCTAATGATAGATTAGGTATACATTAGAAAATTAATTTCTTCAGGAGTCCTCCATGGTCGCACATAGGTTCTTCGTTATTTAATTGTTAATGATATAACTAAATGTTTTAAATTTTATACGTAGGTATACGTTTTTAATGTATACTGACGATCTTAAGGTTTTTCATTTTATAGGTAATATTCATGGCATCATGAATATTACCAGCAGCATTGTTAATACAAGAAGATTTAAATTCTTTCAAAAAATACCGTTTTGAGATCAGCTTATATGTGAACTTTAGGAAATGTCATCACATAACATTTAGTAAAATAAAAACCTGATTGTAACACGCTTTTCAATGGGAAATCATAATTTTAAGAAAATAATACTTTCATATCCGCGTGTAATAATTCCGATAGCAGGATAATCATCGATCGTCACAATTATATCTCTGAAAAAACTAACAAAATGTGTTTATTCTCTTTAGGCAGAAACTATATTGATTTTAAAAATTCACCCATATTTCGTATTACATTTATAGCTTATTCAACAGTTTATGTTATAACTAACTAGGAAGGAACAATAAAAATCAACCAGAAAAAAACCAAAATACATTTAAAGATACGTACATAAATCATAATATATATCCCGGAATTGTAGACAGTTTTATAATAAAAAAGAAATTAAATATAACTTCTAACTCTCGGGGACTGGAGTAGTATAACTGATATGAAATTTATTTATGGAATTATTATTAATTAATCGATACAACCGAAATTAATAGTTTAATTAATTTTATAGTTCCATCGTAAGCAACAGGAAATAAAAATGTAGGCAATTATTACTTGATTCCTCCTGTAAATTAATATTTATCGAAATTATAATATCCCTATTGGGTGTTCATACCTATTCAGTTTGTTACAATAGTATTGTTTTTGTCTTCATCCTCAGAAACATTGTACCTCACCTAAAGGTGAAGACAAAAAAGAAACTACTGTTGTAACAAACTGAGTAAAAGTAAACAATGAAACGAGACTCAACTTGCTTCCATCTTAGGAACAACTTTAACCTTCCCTTGGAGAGTTTCTGAAGATGAAAAAAAACCTATTTCTATATATTTTTCTCTCAATATATCCTTGAAAAGAATATTTCTGTCATTTTGTGTAAATTATATTTATGTACTGGTACTTTTTAACAATTTATTTATTTTTAGCTGTATTTTGTAAATATATATTGTTTTTCTTTTTAATCTTTTCTTACACACTTGTTAATTTTTAGTACATATTCTTTCAAAAGCACGCACTATTGTGTATAAGGAATACGTATCTGAATTTCCTTAACTGTATTCCTTACGCAATAAACAAAATAATATAATAAACAAATTAAAATCAGTTCTATTGCCTTCAGATTATTGAAGTTACGATTGGCGACAGAATATACAGGGTGGTCCCGAGGTAATGGGCCAAAATTCATGGATAGATTCCCGAAGCAAAAATATTGCGATTTAACCGAACTTACCTTAGTCCAAAAGTTGATAGTTAAGAAGATACAGGGTGTTAAATGTAAAACGTTATTTTAGTTTTTTTTTTCATTTATTTCTTAATAACTACAAATATCCACACAAAATTTTGGGGTTAGGGTTTCTTTACGTAGAGGAATTGAAATTTGTTCACATTTTGATTATAGTTCATAGAGGGCGCTAGCTCCAGTAAATTGAATGTGTTGAAAACGACATAACTTTTTTGTATTTTACTCTTCTTTTTGGTATCAAATTCTTATTTTTCAACTTTATTTACACAAAAAGGTATACTTTATGAAAGTAGCTCTCTCGCACCGTTTTCGAGATATTTGGCTTTGAAACTTCCAATGCTAATAGTTGAAATAATTAAAATAATTTAGGAATGTTAAAAACAACGGTTTATTTAGAAAAATTGTGATGAAGAGTAAAACAGTAAACATTAGTAAAAAATATGCCTTTTTGACAATAATTGCTCAAAATGTCCCACCACTAACTTCAATGCATTTCTCAATGCGTTTATTAAAAGATTGTCTTATTTTAAAGTATAAATCCTTAACGCGAAATGACTTTGCAGCATTTAAAACCTACTGCCAAAGTTCTGCCAAGGTTATAGTTTATCCATAAACAACTGATTTCATGTAACCCCAAAAAAGGAAGTCTCAAAATTCTATCTCACATTTCTGTACATACAAATTAAATTGTAAGCTATGATGTAATTTTAATTAGGTACGAATAATACTTAATGGAAAGTAGCATACAAATGACAGCAATAAGACAAGTGGAGAACGTCAATTTGGTTTTCGTCCAAACTTAAGAAACTTTACCGCTAAATTAATAATAGGTATTTAATTGTAATTTAATTCAACAGCATTGGAAGTTTCAAAGCCAAATATCTCGAAAATGGTGCGAGACAACTAGTTTCATAAAGTATACCTTTTTTGTGATGAGATACCTTAAATAATAAAAAAGTTATGTCGTTTTTAACACATTCAATCTACTGCAGCTAGCGCCCTCTATGAACTTTGTCCAAAATGTGAACAGATTTCAATTCCTCTACTTAAGGAACTCCAAACCCCAAAATTTAGTGAGGATATTTGCATTTGTTAAGGAATAAAATAATGTAAAAAAATTAAAAAAATAATATTTTGCGTTGTATCACACGCGTTGTGCGTGTAACACCCTGTATCTCTTTAACTATCAACTTTTGGACTAAGCTGAGTTCGGCTAAATCGCAATATTTTTGATTCGGGAATCTACTCCTGAAATTTGGCCTATTATCTCGGCACCACCCTGTATGTATTACATGTAAAATTTGACCAGTTTCTATATCAATGTAATAGGTCAAAAACCGATAATTTTAATACAGAGTTGAAATAATAATGACATCTGTCAAAGTTTCAATTTCTCTTCTTATACGCATTCTATTAATTCACAAATTTCATTTCTCGTATGGATTTTTATCATTTTTCGGGTGTAGCATGACTTCTTTTGTATGTGTTGTAGCTAGTGCTAGATTTAACTGTTTAGAAAAAATTGAAAAAAATTTGCTTTTCCAATACCTTTTCAAACAGTTTTTTAAAAATTAAAAAATTGAGAGACTCGGAAAAAGCACGCTAGAAAATACTTATACAAATATTTTCTAATTAAAAATAAATATTAATATAAATGCAAACTAAAAAAATGAGCAAATTGACTTAAACTGAGATTTTTAGATCCCATGTTGATGATTCTGTTTCATGAGCAATATATTCTTGGTCATTTCGATAATATCTTAAGAGACTTATGACTTGACTGACTTGATGACTTTTAAAAATAATTTCTGAAGGTTATTTTTACATAACTTTATTTATATTGGCAAGAACCCTGTATAATCTAGATTTTAACAAAAATTCAATTTTTCCGTTTCTATTTTTTCCGGAAATTTTGTACCTCTAGTGCTAATACTCTCTCATCCACTCTCCCAATATCTACTTCACTGATACTTTTACTACTTCTTCGTTATTGTCCTTTATATTCAAAGTTTATCTAAGACATTTTGTCCGCCCGTCCTAGAAATACAAGAAAATATTGTACCTTTTCGGCTAATTTATTACATTGTTAGGTATTTATTTTGCAGGTTTCCTGAATGCCAACACTGATCCGTACTCGAGGAGTCCCGCGAACTACGGACTTATGGATCAGATCGCCGCTCTGCACTGGATCCAGGAGAACATCGCTGTTTTTGGCGGAGATCCAACCAACGTCACGCTGCTGGGCCACGGGACGGGAGCAGCTTGCGTGAACTTCCTGGTGACTTCCAGCGCTGTTCCTGAAGGTACGTCAGATCCTTAAGGAGATAAAATTAATTAAAGCCAATCTGGAAGAGTAGCAATAGTTCCTAAGTTGGATAAAGCATTTTACCACGGAAATATTTAAAATATATTATAAACATTTCCTCTTTAGAAGTGTGTGGATATACAGGGTGTTTCTGAAATAAGTGCGTTACATGTAAAGGGTGAAAGAGGGCACGAAAATGAGTAACTTTGATTAAGCAAGTGATGGCCTAAAACATTACGTTTTAAAATGAAAAAAAAAAATCACATGAAAGTTTAAACAAATTTAAAGCCGGCCCTGGTGCGGCAGCCATGTGTACACCCGAAATCGAAGTTGCAGCGCATCGCAGTGCGAAAGCGCTGATAGTGGTTTTGGCGGTTTAAATTTAGTGTTCGAAAATGCTGAATTTTATTCAAATTTCGGTTAAAAGTAGCTAAAACAAAAATTAAAATATTCTAAAAAATACGATAAGGCGTTTGTTAAAAACTCTAAACAAGCAGCACCATTTAAACACCACACCATACATTCACTGAAAACCGTTGCTGGAACCGAGATCTCTATACAACGTGAGGATTTGCATCACACCAACAGTGAATGTTATGAAAATTTAGTATGCCGTCTCTAGTAAAATAATATTCATCCCTTCTCGGACAATGTCGCGAGTACTGCGCCTCGGATCTTGTTCAACGAAGTTTATGATGTTTTCTACGTTGGCGAAAACATGTTGCGGCCTTTCCCGTCCACGACTTTCATATGTCATGTTGACATTCCCGGTATCCCGTAACCTTTGAACTACCTTTTGCATTGTTCTACTATTATGTAACCTGAAGGGTTGTTTCTTAATTTATCTAGCTACCGTTATGACCAGTATCATAACGATATTAATTTGCAAAATAGTTTACTATTAACGTCTCGAAAAGGAGTTTATAATTATCATTACACTTTAATTAATACGTGGGAACTTAGAAATGTTGTACGTTCAGTGAATGAATTCCAGACACTTACCGTACGTCGCTCATGTACAAGGTTTGTGGTTGGTTATATATGGTGACACGTAAGTTGGAAGAACAAGAAAACACAAAAACTTTCCAGGAAGGGTTTTAATAACAATAAAAGCAAAACAAACAAACAAAATAACGACACAACGGGCCCGAAAAACATTATTAATTACTTTATTGACACGTGACAGCGTACCGAGATTCAGGGAATGCGCGATCCATATCAAAATTTGGAATGAGTTGATCCATTATTAAATTAATCCAAGACTCTAAAACTAAGTAGACTGCTCAATGTGGAACCCAGTGAAAAACTGCCTGTTTTTTCGGAGATCTCTCCTGAATTCGACACCTCGCTTCGACACGCCCATTTCTTGGGTCCAGGCGTTTATGTTCTTATCTTGCTGGCAGGAACCTTGGATATCGGAACGCTTTGGCATAACTGTGCCATGTCAATAGTTGTCTAATGGACTGAATTTACATTTATATAAATAATTCTGTGACTAATTGGACTTAACAAGTAACCCTAGCCTTCCTCTAGTGACTCCGTGTAGCAATACGGGACGGATTAGTCAATCTTATTTAATCTATTCTTATAGCTTGAAAAATTCGCCTAAAAAACAGCTATTTGAATTATTATTATTTTCCTCACCACAATCTAACAACTTATTTAAATATATCGGAATTTCTACGTTTCGTTGAATGCATTTGGCTCGTTATTAGAAATATCGATTTTCTCTTTATACCAGATGCTCAACACATGGCCCCGACGGTCTAAGTGAACTTGTTAAAAAATATTGCTAAATTTCATGAGGCCTTCTCCGAAGGACGGTCTTGTGGCATCGCTAAACTACTTGAAAACTCTTAAATTTTCGATAAAATTAGTGTTGACTGAAATATTTTACTTTTTGGCCCATCCGTTAAGAGAACTAACAAATAAATTACTACGCGTCCCGGCTTTTGTTACAATTAGGTTGTTGTCTGTTACGGTAACGGGCCGCATACAAAAGACAAGTCTCGTTTAAATTGTACTGACATTCTCCGTACATTAACACCATATCTGCTAGTTGTGCAGAAAACATTTTATACTCCGGCTAAGTAATACTGTGACACACAACAAAAGAACACAAGACTGATCTAGTGACTTACCATCTGACTTACTTGATTGTGGAAGTCACGTGGAACGTCAGCCAATTAGAGAAGCGCTTCACGCATGTAGCGAGTCCGAAGCATTCTGGCCATGCACGTGCACAAGATGCACAGGATCGGCATATATTTATATTTAATTTTCTTAATAAATTTTTTTGAAACAAACATAAAAGTTGCTCATTCTCATGTCCTCTAACTCCCGTTTCAAGGAACGCACTTACTTCAGAAGCACCCTGTATTTTTGTTTAAATTATTATTCCACCCTATAACGTTATAAATAACTCTATAGCGTTTGTTCTGGGTTCAAACTATAAAGTGCGAACAGCAGCTCTCTATAGCGGCGGCAATGGGCAGTGGGTCGGTTCTAATAATTGATTCACAACATATATATTCGTCAGTTTGAGGAGAACGTTAAGGGGAAGATAAAAGATATTAAAAGGGCGCCAACCTACATAAAAAATAAGCAAACAAACCCCTAACGTTTCCTCTCCCTGTAGGTCGGGATTGGAGAAGATAAAATAAAAGGCATACAAAAATCTCACTGGTATATTTCTCACGGTTCGCCAGGCGTTCGGCAGGATACGGGTCTATGATGCTGGTGTTCTGGACTGCGGTCTCGAATCTGGAGCTCAGGGTGGTGACCTATTCCCTTCCAGGTTTACCAAAAAAAATGCTGAATGTTTGTTCTTAAGTTTGCAGTGACTACCAAAACTTTAGTTAATTAATCTTCACTAAATGATCGTAATTTCGATCTAATAAACTAGTTATGACGAATTTTACTACATTCGCCTAACTTTAAATACAATTCATTATTTGAGATTTTATCAAATACCAAAAACTTGTCTTTAAAACTTAAATAAAAACAACAGCTCTTAACTTTTATGCAGAATTCTCAAAATTCTTGAAAACTAACTCTTTCTACTTTACTAAAACTTTTTTTGAAAGCTGCTTTTAAATTTTAAAATTTTCTGGTAAGCTCTGGTGAGAGAAATTGGAAGAAACAAAATTCAATTAGCACATGGTTACACAGCATCGAAGGTTTTACAAAAACACACAATAAAATTCTAATAGTTAGCTAGGCTAGAATATACTGGATCAAATTTAAAGAAAACTAAAATTTAACATTTAATTAATTACCTATTGGTGTAGATTTTCGTTTCACTTGGTGATTAAATTTAATTAAAATACTCGATTTTATTGTAATCATTCGCGAGCTATTTGTTTGTACCAGTACAAAATGAAAGAAGCTTTAATCCGCTCCAGCAGTCGTTTTATTGACTCAATTCTAAGAAAAAAACTGCTCAATCAATGTGATTGGCCGGTTGAACACAATACATTTCATACTGGCAACTGCTATTTAATCACCTCGAACGTATTCGATCACTGGCTATGTTCTATGATCCACCACAAATTATCCACTCCACTCTGTGTGTCTTAGGTCAATGGTAACAGAAATACAATAACCTTCAATGTATGACAACCAAGTAACCTAATTGTTGATACTCCAGATTCGATTTACAAACAACAATATTAAAGGAAAATAATACAAATAAAAGGTAGTACAGTTAAAATTACATAATCACAGAACTATTACAATTCATACAACAGAGTTTCTCCATGTTTATACAGGTAAATAGTAAACAATTATTGCATACAGTTTAATACATTGGAGTTTTATAACTAATAGCAGGGTATGACAAAGATTTAAAAGATGTAACAACAATATAGCAGTATACAGGTGGAAACAAAACTAACTAATAGTAATAACAAAGTTGGATTCGATGCTAAGGTCTCAAGAAGTTGTTTAATTGTTGACTTGTAGTTAAAATAAATTGTGACATTCACACTAAACAAATAGTGAATGTTACAACTTGTTTTGAATATATAACAGTCTTAAATTTCATAAATCTACTTTTTCTAAAAATCAATTCATTTGAACCTTAAGGGTAAAATGCGCAGTGATAAAGTAGATGAGTGAAGAACGAAGGCTATTTCGTTCAGAGCTTTCGAGTTATTTCATCTCATACTACGTGCACCTTCCTTTTGATTTACGCATTTTAAGACTCAAATGAAATTCGTGCTTTTGTATTTTAAAAAGAATTTTATTTTTGTTTCCACATAATTGCATATTATTAAAAAATCATTTGTTGACTTCTAAAATTTATCAGAGCGTAGAAACTATCACCCTCATTAGAAAATGACAACATGGCTGCCCAAGATACTAAAGGTCAAAGTTGTTTGCAAATGTCTCGCATTCTATGCATCGAATATCCATAAGGTGAAGGTTGTAGAGAATTCAATTATCAACAAAATTGGATCTTCTCAAAACGTCGCTCTTGTAGAGATATTCAAGGTCAAAGTTCCAAAGAAATCGCTTTTTCACGAAATTTCGCTTCCTATAGGTACATCGGACGTCCATGAAGTTAACGTAAAAGTTTTAGATAAAATAGTTTCTAAAAAATATTTTTGAAATTGTATTCGTTTGCTCACCACCCATGAGGCAGAATACAGAAGATCAATCTTATACAGGGTGTTTCAGACCACTCCTTCTAAAATCTAGGGTATCTAATAAAATGAAAAATTTAATACCTCTTAATAGTGAATGGACTATGCCGGATCGATTGGAGGTATTTTCAACTTCCGGCAACCACCGGAAGTGGCCTATTCAGACCGGAAGTCAGTTTTTTAAATGGAATGGCATTCTTTTTCTTATTGATCTCGATTCCACGTCGAAAACTAAGGAAGTTTTGTAATTTGATATTGTTTTTTTTTCTAAATCGTCGTTTTTCACCCCAAAATGCCTTCCGAAATGTAAGTGTTACCCTAAGAAGCGACAAAGAAATGAAGCGCAGTACTC